TCGTAAAAACTTTTTTCGTTGCAGTAAAAAAACATTCTGTTTAAGGATTTTCTACGTTATTTTTAAGGAAACAAATCCATTCTTTTATGGTGAAAACCCTTTGAGGCTGAGGCTACAGATTTACTTCGTAATTTTCTTTTGTTTCGTACAACCAACCCAGCTATCAGCAGTACATTTTACGTGATTTTTTTCACAGTATTGAATACAATGCTACAAATTTAACAATTGAAATTAATTAATTTACAATTATTTTTCTACCCATATTTTAATAAACATTTTTTTTTTCTAGACACCATACTGACTTATGTAGAATTTAAATTTAACCCCTAATTAGTCATTTATATATTCTCTAACTTAAAATTAATAAAAATCAGCTATTACAAAATTTATAATTGCAGTAAAGAGAAAACAAAATCAATTTACTAATCGGGTTATAATAAGTTAATTGTTACATTAAAGAGAAAATAATTTACTAAATAGAAAATTAAATTCTTAATTAACTAATATAAAATGTATAAATATAACATTGATAAAAAAATAATTTAATAAACAATTTCAAAAAAACTTATAATAATATTTAAAATTATCAATAGTTAAAAGCATTTTAATAGTTCCAATTAGACAAGAGAACATAATAAATTGGACGAGTAACGAACTTGTTAGTACAATGACTTAGTTTAAAAATTTTTCAATCACACTTAATTCAAATAGATGCATGCCTAAACACGTTTCGGAAAGCGTAAAACACGAAACGGCAAACATTCATCAAATTACTCAACCCATGAGATTTGTTGTTCTCTCCAAAATGTCATAAATGACCACCCGTGGTTCACGCAAGTTAGCCATGCGACAAATTGCTAATTTCTTTAGGCGTCGGCTTTTTCTATCACAGTTGGAATGGCTGAAAGCAACCATCAGTAACTAAGTTAGACAAAATAGCTTTTGTTCGTTTTTGTCACTGTTAGGGCCATTTAAATCGAGGCTTTATGCGAATAAGCATTTTAACCAACTCAGTTTAGTAGTGCGGATGAATAAAGATTGAGCGTTTAGTTTAGCGGTTTGTTTCGTAAATGCTTCATGGCTGTGTTTCAATGATTTATATTAAATTTTGTAATGCTTATTATTATTATTATTACTTTTTGTCGCTATTTTTCATTAGAGATTTCAAATTTTAAACTACGCATGTGTACATAATTAAATTTTTGGAATTGTAGTACTTAAAAAAAAGTCATATTTTCAATGGCAAGACGAAAAAAAATTTCTAACAATTTTATTTTTGTCTCAACTTGATTGAGTAAGAAATTTATTTTCTTTTTAATTCTCCTAAATTATAGAACTTTTTAAAATAAACTTTTTGGCAAAAATCCTTTTTCTAAAATTCATGAGTTAAAAAGGAAAAAAAAAGTATTAAAGTTTTTTCCACATTTCAAATTAAGTCACATTGCAAATTACTGATATACTGATATTCTTTATGATTATGTCAAAAAAATTGTTTGACTAAAAATTTAAATAACAGAGATTTTGATTTTTTTAGTTAAGCATTTAATACAGTTCATTATTTAAAATTAATTTTTAAATTCCTTTTAAATTTATTTCTTAAAGTATAATTATTAAGATTGCATTAGATGCTTCAGTTTCAAAATATATCTTTTTAACGTTTGAAGCATCACTAATCTTTTGTAATACTATAGACATACTTCTGAATACCAGCTATTTAGTTTCGAAATTAATGCAATACTATAAAATTATCGTTATAATAAAGTATTTATTATAAAATGAAAGCACTTGTTACACTTTCAAAAAATATTGGTAGACATTGATTTAGAGTACTAAAATTTAATAGTGATTGCTATACATGATTAAGATGTGCACTATCAGCAATTTTTAATGTACTTTTAGAACTACCATCATTTTCTTTATAGAAACATGGGAACTTATCAAATAGCTAAACGAAGCAAATTTTTAAAACAAATATACAAAATATAGCGGATAAATATAAACTAGACAATCAACTGCTGTGGTTTATTTGTTAATAAATAAATTATAATTGGTAATTAGGAGTTTTATTTTAACTAATTTTATGATTAGAATAATAAATTCTTCTGAATATCATAATTTTAAGCTAACAAGACTTCATCACAAGTCAACATATAAATAAAACCAAAATATTATTTTCCAAAATATAATATTTAAACAGCTAAACAAAGCGAATTTAAGCATAAATTTTCTTTGGGAAGTCAACTGCTATTCCTTTTTTGCTGATAAATATATTATATTTGGTTTTTGAAACAATATTTTTTATCCATTTTAGGATTAAAAAAATAACTTTTTTAAAATTTTCATCGTTTTACGAAAGTTAAACTTAATTACAAGTCAAAAAATAATTAAAATTCTTTGCATGAACACAAGTGTTTTTTCGAACTAAATACTTTTAACTGACTTTTAAAATGCTTCATTTTATGATTACGAATTGATTTTAAGCAATGAGAAAATTTCCATTTCTAATTTTCAATTGAATTTCAAGAATATTGAACAGGCAAATATCATTTATAATTAGATGATTTTATATTTAAATAGTAATACTAAACTACAAGTAAAAGTGTTTGATGTTCATATATTGGTTCAGATGAGTAAATGAATTTTCGAGTTACTCGATAATTCTCTTCCAAATTATATGTTTCCCAAAAAAATATTCTTAAAATTTAAAAAAAAAACGTCTTTACATCTCGTATGGAACTATATTGAAAGTTTATAGTTCGGAAATTTCACTGGGAAAAACAAAACATTTGAAAATCATATTGAGGTAAAATAATTCTTAAAATTTTTTGGGAGTAATTTTCTGTATACACATTATACAATAAAATCATAAAATTCTAAAATTTCCTTTGAATATTCTAATAAGCTTTCGATTTGGGAAATGTAACCATTGTAGCGTAATTCTTATCTAATGTAGTATAAATATACAACTTACTCTATCATTCCTTTCTCACCGTTGCAAGTCAGATTGCGAAGTGTTATACTTAATTACATTTTGCATTAAAAGTTAACTCTTTCGATTATATTGTTGTCGTAGTGTTGTTTTATAGAAAGAAATCCTTAATTATTATTTTGATGAAATCAATTTTACATTTTTTCGTTCAATTTTTATTGAATCTATCAATAACTCTTTGGTACTCGTACTTGTTTTTGTACTTGTGAACTAAATTGTTACCTTTGTAGCGTAATTCTTATCTGAATTATTATATGTAAATATACAATTTAATCTACCATTCCTTTTTCCCGGATGCAAGTCAGATTGCACTATGTTATACTTTATTACATATTGCATTAAATGCTTACTCTCTCAATTACACTATTGTCGGAATGTTGTTTTATAAACAAATTTGTTTCATTGTTATTTTAATAATATTTTTTTTACACTTAATCAATCTATATTTAATGGACCGAAAAATAATTCGTTGTAACTCGTACTTGCTTTTGTACGTGTGAACTAAATTGAAAATCTTTGTAGCGTAATTCTTATCTGATTCGTTATAAATATAAAATTTAATCTACCATTCCTTTTTCCCGGATGCAAGTCAGATTGCACTATGTTATACTTTATTACATATTGCTTTAAATGTTTATTCTCTCAATTACACTATTGTCAGAGTGTTGTTTTATAAACAAATTTGTTTCATTTTTATTTTAATAATATATTTTTTACACTTAATCAATCTATATTTAATGGACCCATAAATAATGCGTTGTAACTCGTACTTGTTTCTGTACTTGTGAACTAAATTGTTAGTTTTAAAGCTTAATTCTTATCTGATTCATTAAAAAGATATAATTTACTCCATCATTTATTTCTCCCGGTTGAAAGTCAAAATGATCTGTGTTATACATTTAGCTGTAAAAGAAGATTTTATTAATTATATTATGTTTGAAGAATTGTTTTATGAAAATAATTTATTTCATAATTATTCTGCAATACTGTTTCGCACTCAATCAATTAATAATCAATGGATCTATCAATATTTTAAAGAATCTAAAATTACTTTAATTAATATGACAAATGTTTTCAAGTTCACTGCTTTCTTTCGATTAAACTTAGCATGCAAGAACAAAACAATTCATAAGTTAGCCAATTAAACTATGAATAAGAAAGTATTTAAAATAATAAAAAAATAATAAAGGAAAATGAAAATAGGTTACATTGATTTTAATATAACTGAATACTTTTTTAGAAGTTACATAAAAAACAAACCATAAAAAAATAAAAAACAAATGTACCAATTTCAGTTTCGATATTTTATGCTTAAAGAAGTCATGATACATGTTAGTTGAATCTGCACTTGCACAGAAAATAGAATAAATAACAAAAAACATCCTTATTAACAATAATAGAGCTATACACTTAATTTAGTTCATTACAATCTGTATAGTTAATTTTTATATTTTATTTATAATTTTCAGAAGAGGAAAATAGAATAACAAAATTGTAAATAACAAAAAAAATATTATTAACGTCTGGTGAACTATACATTTATTATTTTATAAATGTTTTTTGTGTCATTTGATCAAACTATTTTTATTTCATTGAATAAAATTTCGCAAATGAAATAATTAGAATTTATTTTCAGCCAAGACTTGTTGTTAATAAAACTGTATTACAAAATTATAAGCGAAACCTTAAAATTTATAAATATGTTTATGTTAAGACATTGTATTGTTTTCTTCTGAAAATTTATTAAGTAAATTAAATAAATATCATAGAAAATAAACCAATACTTAAGACAAATACTATTTGAGGATTATTGTAAAAATACTCAAATTGTTATTTTCAAACAATTTAAAATAAATTTTGAGTAGTAAATATACATAAATACACCGTATCTCTTTCATTTTTTACAAAACAAATTTTATATATCTAGTATTTAAGTTATATCTACAATACAAATTATTAATTATTAAAAAGAACAGAACAAATTGTGCATAAACAGCGAATTTTACCTTACCTTTTTCTGTTGAGTTTTCAAGATGAACTGGTCTAAAATTTATAAATAGTCCTATAATGATCCATGCAAAAATTACTGGGGTAATAAACACCCCTTTCTTGAAACAGCACTGACTGGGGTAAAATTTCTTCATCATGAATTAGAAATTTCTCACCACAAAAGAAAATTATTTCCAAAAGTTTCAATTCAAAATCAACCGGATTCTAATCTATAGTGGAAAAACAACAACTTTAAGATGTCACTAAATATCAAGACCTTGACAACAATTAAATTAATTGTTGTTTTAGAAAACACAAGATTTTCTCTTTCGATATCAGGAAAGAATTTTATTTTAATCCGTTTTCAACCTTGAAAAACGCGATATACGATTGTGAATAATAGTACAATCCCATAAAACCATGTCGTTTTATGAAAGATGACGAATCCAGATATTTTATATTTGGCAATTTCAAAATCAATTTTTTTTATCGCCAAAATTCGGGTTGCAGTTTTGCTTTATTCTTCTGTTCCACTTTCCGCTCACTGAAAGGGGTTGAAAAACTTAAAAAACTACAGTAAAGAAGTTTAGAGCATAGCACCACTGCAGATGCGGCGCTGGTCTGGTGCCTCCACCGTGGCGGACAGATTGTAGGGGGGTGGTGAAAAAGGGCCTTTTCCCTTTTCTCGCTAACGCGCAGGCCCTGACACAGTACTGCTGGCTGCCTCTGCCGGCTGGCTCGATAATGTTGCACCGAGGGGTATAGGAGGGTATACGGGGTAGCGAGTTGCCCGAGAAAGAGCGAGAAAAGAGAGTTACCCTCTTTCTCTCTTGGCTCTTTAGATCTCATCGAGGAACAAAAACTCTCACTAGAAAAGATGCGGATGATCAGAAAGGGATGCGGGCTGGAGTAAAAGCGTGAATTAATGATCTGTTATCAACTCTTTATCTACACTAACAGAATAAGTAGGAAAAATGAGTACACCAGGAAATTGAAACATCCCGCTCTTTTGTTATACTATTTAGTAGAACTTTGGACCCAGTACAATCAGAGATTAAAAGAAATGTTGTGCAAAGGCATGTTCTTATTTTAAAACAAAATTTTAATATATTATTGATGTAAATTATCAAATTAATGGGTCAGTAGCGAAAATGTAATGCAACATGTAAAAGGTGCAAGATAAATATCTATCTTAATTTTCTTAGTTAATTCTTTAATCTCTCTTTTCTTTTATCCTTTTTGTCTTTATATTATTATATATATTGACCTGAAAGAAAACTGTTTAGTTTAAAACAATTTTTTCAATTTTTATACTTTTCTCTTTTCGATTCAGTAATTTTGTGTAAATAATTCATAAATTTTTTACGCTTCATTTATTAAATTTTGAATTATTTAAGTATTATATTAATGTACAGCAAATATATTGAAGGAGATATTAAACAGGAGAAACTATTTTTAACTGTATTTTTTTAATACGCAGCTATATGTTTAAAGTTCAATTACATCAGAAATTAAATCTCCCATTTTGTTTTATTTGAAATCAGTATTTATAAGGAACATGGGGCTATAAAGGGAAAGGGCTCTAAAATGAATACGTTGACTATTACCCACTGTACAAAAAATAAAATATTTTTTTCAGATTGCGTTAAGTAAAAACAGGAAAATAATTGAACAAATATATTTTAATAAGATTAACAATAGTCTCATTAGCTTGCATTCTATGCATTTTAACTGAAAATTAATTTTTATTTGATGCTACATATGTGGAAAAAGCTTGCAAATACTTAAGTTTCGTAGATAGCATTTTATTTGCGAGCACATTTATTACTTGTTCATTCTTAATTTCTACATTCTTAATTTATAAACTATTGCTGAAAAACAACTTGTTAAATATTTTGCTTATTTTAATTGCTGCATTCGCAAGCAATACTTTACTATTACAAAAAAATAAATAAAAAAATGATTATTCACACAAATGACATTATAAACCTTGGGTTTCCGGAATCATATATTGTGCTTAGAGACTATTTATACACTATTTAAGTCTGCGTATTTTTAAAACATTTTTAGCTTCTATTTGACACAAAGTATTATAAAATAGTAATAACGTTTAATTGTATAAAGTCTATTGTTAAAATTAACACTAAAGTTAAAATTGATAGTCTAATGTTATATTTAAACACTTAAACCTTGTAGATATTTCTTTAAATTTAAAATGTCTAATCATTTATAATTAATTTTAAAAATTTTTAATAATTTTAATATTTTTTAAGTTTTTTTAGAATGCGTAATATTATTTCTATGTTATATTATGCACTTTGCAAATTAATATTAGTGTTTCAATAACTAAAGATTATGGCCTATTTAATAAAATTTTTGTGAACAACTTAACTGACAATGAAAAAAAAATATGTATGCAAATTGAAAAACTCGCTAGTTTTTTTACTTTTTTTTAACTTTTTTTTTATTTTTAACATTTGATAAGATTTGATTCTCAAAGTTAATAGACTGTATACTTCATGAATTGTTCAGTTATTAAAAATTTTTATATCTAGGGACAAAAAATTTATACCTAAATATTTTTAAAATTATATTATAAGAATGTGGCAGCATTTCAAGACTTAGAGTCTTAAAATGTTGTTTAGAGTCGACTACAAATAACCTAGAGAGAAATTTAAAAAACACAATAAAGCAAACTTCATTTCATTCTTTTTGTTTCAATTACCATGATAGTGTCAATCTCAAGGAGAATCTATACTATATCGTCATATAGTTATTTACTATATTGTTAATAGACAGTATAGTTAATCTCAAAGAGAATTTTAACAATATTGTCAACAGACAGTGAGTATAAAAATGTATTAAAGTGAAGTGAGTTTAGTCCAAAAGTTGAACATTCCTTCAATATTCAACTTTGTTTCACAGAAGTTTGGCTATAACAAGATTTAGCTATTTCACAGTCTACTAAAAAAAGCAGTACTGAGAGCAATTATCTTCATTTACTTGTAAGTTGTGGAAATCTCTTTCAGACTGCCTCCGGCTTCCAGAATCTAATACTGTCTAAGTAAAAATTTTATTTGTCACATTCCTTATATACAATATATATTGCTTTGAAAATAATTAATTCATTCATGGAATGAATTCTGTCAACACCAATAAGAAATTCAGCATTTTTTTAATCAAATTGAGCAGCTTTAATTTTTAAAATTGAGCTAATCTTTACAAAGCGATGTTTGTTGATGTCGATAAAGTTATCGCCAGTCATGTGCTGCTGAAAGGAGATCTCAGCGCTAAAGAAAGTGAAGTTGCTTGAAGAAAACCGTAAAGATATGTTTATCTGGAAACTGAAGACAGTTACGTGGTTTTACGCTTTGTTGGACAATTTGTAAGGCCAAAAAAAAACCGGATCAATTTACGAAGTTTTGGCACATTAGGGTCGTAAAAGGCAAAATTTCTCCGAATACTTGATCCAAGAATTACCTAGTCTTCCGGATTTGGTTCAAAATTACAAGGCTACGGTGTTGAACATTAGTTGTCACAAACTCAAAAATTGGGTCGCCTGTTGAATTATGGTTATAAAATTAAAAATATTTATTTAACTAATGTGACTCAAGAATTTTACAGTACTAATTACTACTGAAACATTACGACATACATGATTTTTTTATTCTGCAAGATGTTCCAGTAAAAATGAATTTTACAGTAATAAGTGCCGGAATTTATCCAGCATTTTTTGAAGAATATTTTTATCTATATCTTGACTTAGATATAGAAACATCAATACATTAAGTCTGACAGGTACACGAGAACGTACGTTTGTTTAAGTGCAAAAGATTTTAATCTGTGAATTATTAATACAAAACAAAACAAAATACGATCACACAATGAATAGATTTATTCATATTATGTATAGAAACAATATTTTAATGATTAATTAGAAAAGTAACTCGTTCACACTACAGACATACGCAATCTTTAAATTTTACTTTCGTCAATTAAACCCTATTTAGTACGGGTGACTGCCTCACATAGATTTGGCTTTCGAGAAAACGATTTTACTAACGTTTCGCAGCCTTAATTTCTTCAGTCTTCCTCCAGACAAAAACGAATGTCAAAAATATATTTATAAATTACCATTTAAGAATCAGTATCTAAATATGCAAATCCTTAACTTAATAGTTGAAATTGTATTTCAACTAAATATTATTATAATTATAATTAATGAAATTCTTCCGATATTTACATTGTATGAAGGCCGCTAAACACAAAAAACACTATGCTTTTAATACCTGATTAAAAAGATTGTATTTGATTTAAAGTGACTTTTGAAAAGCTCAGATTGCTTTAAATATATATATATATTTGTTTCTGCAAGATCGGAACCATGAGGTATTGATTTGCTATTGGAATTCGGAGAAGTTTTTGACTTCGATAGATTTAGCGTGCACCATTCCACCATTTTGTACACAGCCGGCGAAATTCGAACTCACGACCTCTCGGACTGAGGCATTTTATTTTTTTTTATTTTAATAAAGAATAGTGTCTCACATTGGTCTCTTTATTTGAAATGTCTCACATTATCTTCCATTGCTGTCACCTTTGAAGATCGTATATATCTGTTAAATTGCAAAACATGATGTACACAAGCAAATCATTTGTTTTATAGTTTATGATTATTCGAAATATAAAAACATACATGGAACAATGATATTTTTAAATCATAATAACTAGGATTCTACATTATTTAGATTTTAAAAAAAAACTAAATTGTTGGTATTCCCTGAGAGAAAAGATTATTTTACATCCTAAATGCTCAACGTTATTTTTAATTTTCTCCAGCTAAATTCACAATAATAATAATGTTACGTTATTGAAAGTGTTTTATCAAATTCGTCAATTTATAACTGAAAATCAAATTTTGAGTAGTTTTTAATTCAAATTTAATATTTTATTCATTTATTTTATCAATGTCTCAATACACCTAGAGGGTTAATTCAAATTTTTTAAAGATATTTTTTAAATTTCCTATAAGGTAGTTTACTGTATTCTGAAGCTCTTATTATACATTCTTTAAAATTCTATAATATGCTTGATATTATTTTCCTTAGTAAGCTTTGCTTTAGGGCAAATGTATTTTAATTGTATAGCACAAATATATTTCTCAACTAGCAAAAAATATCTAATTGAAGATTTTTGTTTGATGGATAATACTAAAAAATGTTTGAATTTTAAAAAAGTAGGATAGAAGTACTTAAAAAAAAGTATTACTTTATTAAACTTAATTAATTGAAAAAAATGACATTAGAATTTGTTTGCATTACTTTCTAATGACGTCAAAAACTGTAATAATAATAATAATTTGAATGGTTAATGAAAATATGACGTAACATTTTTTTTCGCGTCGTTTTAAAAAGTTTTTTTTTTAATTATTCATTCATAGATAAAATCTTTTTCATAAATTCTTGGAGAACAAAAAATTTATATTTTTGTATCGCAAAATGTATTTATCTGTTCTCTTAAATTTCAAAAATATTAATAATTACCTACATGTTATAAACTACAGTTCTGCAAATATCAAATATCTAATAGTTCTGATAATTGTTTAGCTCGCATTTATTATAAGAGCTAAAATTTAATCAGTTTCCATTCACAGTTTTAAATTCGGTAAGAAAATGCGAATTTATTTATTAGACTTTCGCACACTTGTATACAAAGTAAAATATACTAATTAGTTAATGCAGAAATTCACATTTAAAACGTTTTTCAGCCAAAAAACTCACATTTATTTCTAACTCCTTCGTATTACCATCGCAG